CCTTTTTACTAGTTTGGTACCCTGAGGTATCTTGAAAAAGACAGCAGCTAATGCATCCTCACACTATGCTAACAACAATGCTCGCAAGCATGTAGGATGGAACAAGGCCACAGATGCAGCAATGTTTCTGGCCACAAAGTGTCTTCAAAGACCAAATGTACTAAACCATTTTTTTAAAAAGCCAGCAGCACCTGTGGTATTGAGACAAATGGAAAATTGTACTACAAATGGGCTCGATTGTGACCAGCCCACACCCACATGCCCACACTTCTCAGCTGCAGGACAGCACAAGTACAGCCTTTGTCCCAGAGGGAGAGGGGAGGAGGCAGAGCCATAGTTCTGCTCCCATCCACACCAGGCACAGAGGGCAGTACACACTGTATTTCCTTCAGGGACAGAAGTATTGCCCCTGCATGGTGGGACGACCCAGGAAGCGCTATGCCCCAAGAGCTTGTGTATACAACATGCACCAATGCCTTACTGAAACAATAGAGCCAGGTATTCACATCAAATGCCAGATATGATTTTTCCCATTTTGCTGCTAGTTAATGATCTGTGAAAACAACTACAGTTTAGATTTATCTATCACCAAGGGCAAGTCATGCCTGACCAACCTGATTGCCTTCTATGATGAGATAACTGGCTCTGTGGATATGGGGAAAGCGGTGGATGTGATATATCTTGACTTTAGCAAAGCTTTTGATAAGTATTTTTGCCAGCAAGTTAAAAAAGTAGGGACTGGATGAATGGACTACAAGTTGGATAGAAAGCTGGCTAGATTGTCGGGCTCAATGGTAGTGATCAACGGCTCAATGTCTAGTTGGCAGCCGGTATCAAGCGGAGTGGCCTAGGGGTCAGTCGTGAGGCCAGTTTTGTTCAACATCTTTATCAATGATCTGGATGATGAGATTAATTGCACCCTCAGCAAGTTCGCAGATGACACTAAACTGGGGGGAGAGGTATATATGATGGAGGGTAGGGATAGGGTCCAGAGTGACCTCGACAAATTGGAGGATTGGGCCAAAAGAAATCTGATGAGGTTCAACAAGGACAAGTGCAGAGTTCTGCATTTAGAAAGGAAGAATCCCATGCACCGCTACAGGCTGGGGACTGACTGGCTAAGCAGCCATTCTGCAGAAAAGGACCTATTATATGGGGATTATAGTGGATGAGAAGCTGGATATGAGTCAGAAGTGTGCCCTTGTTTCCAAGAAGGCCAATGGCATATTGGGCTGTATTAGTAGGAGCATTGCCAGCAGATTAAGGGAAGTTATTATTCCCCTCTATTCGGCACTGGTGAAGCCACACCTGGAGTATTGCATCCAGTTTTGGTCCCTCCGCTACAGAAGAGATGTGGACAAATTGGAGAGAGTCCAACGGAGGGCAACAAAAATTATTAGGGGCCTGGGGCACATGACTTACGAGGAGAGGCTGAGGGAACTGGGGCTATTAGTCTGCAGAAGAGAAGAGTGAGGGGGGGGGGATTTGATAGCAGCCTTCAATTACCTGAAGGGGGGTTCCAAAGAGGATGGAGCTAGGCTGTTCTCAGTGGTGACAGATGACAGAACAAGAAGCAATGGTCTCAAGTCGTAGTTGGGGAGGTCTGGATATTAGGAAACACTATTTCACTAGGAGGGTGGTGAAGCACTGGAATGGGTTCCCTAGGGAGATAGTGGAATCTCCAGCAGGAGAGGTTTTCAAGGCCCGGCTTGACAAAGCCTTGGCTGGGATGATTTAGCTGGTGTTGGTCCAGTTTTGAGCAGGGGATTGAACTAGATGACCTCCTGAAGTCTCTTCCAACCCTGATATTCTATGATTACTTTCTATTATGCCATATCATAGGCTGGGGTCTGATGCAGCAGGTCATTAAAAAAAAATGCAGAGCTACCACCATATGCTGCCATTTTAAGAGCCAGGAGCTGTAAACCACTGAATACAAGACATGCTTAACATGGACATTACTAATTGAAATTTCCTTCTTTCTACAGTGAAAGCAGCTTTTTGTAGCAAAACAGCAGTTCTGTGCCTGAAAAAGTCTGCCTTTGGTTTTCATGGAAAATGGTGAAATACAGATTGCATTAATTTATGTATTTTTACTAATCCAACAATCTCTTTCTCCAATTTCATGAATATCAGGCTGAACCTTCCCCCTCCTCTTCACTCCTGCAGGCCTTGCGAGAGCGTGTGGGACCAGCTATGGAACTGAGGGAGACTGTACGTATGTTAGAGTTTGAATTCCCTCATTGTGCCCAGGATAGACACTTCTTTTGCTTATGGCCTCCATAATGCAGCCAAACTGGAACTTTACAGAAGTAGTATAAACACAAAGTAATTTCACAGCCACCCCGACCCCACTCTGTGCGTTCTGTATCTTGGTGAAGGATTATCTCCAGAGCTCACTCTTATAGGCTAGTCCACCACAGTAAGATATACTGAAAAAAAGAGAAATCAGAGCCTTTTCTATGGGGCCTGGCCTTACAGGCTATACTGCTCCTTGTAGTTCATTGAGAAGCCTGAAGTAGAAGGGTATCCTACTATCAATACCACTGCTGCTCTGCTCAGTGTTATTGGTTACAATGCATATGAAAAAATAATCTCTGAAGAGGTCTGTGGTGACAATATTAGTTCTACATCGACCATGGTTTCCCCATCAGTCCAGGCTTAGCGGGGTCAGGAAAACAGGGTCTTTCTTAGTGTAGGCTCTCAGCCATACCTCCTTCCCCTGGACACAGACATCCTGCACTGGGGATCAGGAGAGATGAAAGAAAGAGAGGGGAAATGGTAGGAAGACCCTAGCTCCTAATTGTAGTGGAAAGGAAGAAAAAGTATAAGAGGAATCCATGATTACAATATCTCATTCTAAGAGCAACTGAACAGGAGTTCCAGGGCATAGTGTCAACGATGTGGAGAGGTAAGTCATTCCCACTCCAACACAGACTCCGACATCAATCCCACAAATGCCCTCATGTCTCCAAAAACCAGCCCAGAAAAGTTCAGTCTCTATCAGTTTCAAGTGCTGTCATTTTCCCTGACCAGCTATTGGTGCCAAAGGTACAGTGCCAAGGAAGTCAGCAATCTGGTAGGATTTTTACATTAATTTAACTAATGTATTGTGGGCCATTTGCACCATCTGCTGTCCACAATACAGTGTCAGTCAAGAAAAGAAGGATGGAGACGGGGCATAAGTCTCAAAATACCATTCGGAGGTAAAATACTCAGTCCAGCAGCTAAAACTCATGAAAACAAAGTCTAGTGGCCAAAAGGCTGAGCCTAGTAATGAGAGAATGAAACCAGGTACTGTCAGTATTATTTCTGAATCCTGTGGATCATGGGAGATTTCTTTCCAATTGTTTCCTGTCTATAGATGTATTTGTACCTATATGTGCACAAACACATACAGACATGTGTGGTTGGGTGAACATAAGACTTTTTACTGGGTGAGTGACTAACCCAAAAGCAAACAGTTCACAATTAAATAATGGCCCTGAAAAACCTGTACACAGCAAAAAGAAAAGGAGGACTTGTGGCACCTTAGAGACTAACAAATTTATTTGAGCATAAGCTTTCGTGAGCTACAGCTCACTTCATCAGATGCATGCAGTGGAAAATACAGTGGGGAGATTTTATATACACAGAGAACATGAAACAATGGGTGTTACCATACAGACTGTAACAAGAGTGATCAGGTAAGGTGAGCTATTACCAGCGGGGGGGTGGGGGGGAGGGACGGGCCATTTCCAGCAGTTGACAAGAACATCTGAGGAACGGCGGGGGGGTGTGGTGGAATGGGGAAATAGTTTTACTTTGTGTAATGACCCATCCATTCCCAGTCTTTATTCAAGCCTAAGTTAATTGTATCCAGTTTGCAAATTAATTCCAATTCAGCAGTCTCTCATTGGAGTCTGTTTTTGAAGTTGTTGGTTTTTTTTAAAAAATGAAGAATTGCCACTTCTAGGTCTGTAATTGAGTGACCAAAGAGATTGAAGTGTTCTCCAAATGGTTTTTGAATGTTAAAATTCTTGACATCTGATTTGTGTCCATTTATTCTTTTATGTAGAGACTGTCCAGTTTGGCTAATGTACATGGCAGAGGGGCATTGCTGGCACATGGCAGCATATATCACATTGGTAGATGTGCAGGTGAACGAGCCTCTGATAGTGTGGCTGATGTGATTAGGCCCTATGATGGTGTCCCCTGAATAGATATGTGGGCACAGTTGGCAACGGGCTTTGTTGCAAGGATAGGTACCTGGGTTAGTGTTTTGTTGTGTGGTTGCTGGTGAGTATTTGCTTCACGTCAGGGGGCTGTCCGTAAGCAAGGACTGGTCTGTCCCCCAAGAACTGTTCCTCACACGTTCTTGTCAACTGCTGGAAATGGCCCACCCTGATTATCACTACAAAAGGTTTCCCCCCCTCCGCCGGTAATAGCTCAGCTTACCTGATCACTCTGGTTACAGTGTGTATGGTAACACCCATTGTTTCATGTTCTCTGTGTATATAAGTCTCCCCTCTGTATTTTCTACTGCATGCATCCGATGAAGTGAGCTGTAGCTCACGAAAGCTTATGCTCAAATAAATTGGTTAGTCCCTAAGGTGCCTCAAGTACTCCTTTTCTTTTTGCGGATACAGACTAACACGGCTGCTACTCTGAGACCTGTCACTTTACACAGCAAGTAATCCTTCTACAAAGGCTTGGTATAAAAGTTATCCAAGGTGTTTCTAAATGTATTTTTGTAGCTAAGTATCTGGACTAATTTTGACATTGCCTATAGGTCTCTGAACGTAATGACTGATTCATTGTGGAGTCACAAGAAACCTCTGCTGCTGAGTAGTTAAAGGACATTTTATGTATGTCAAGAAGCCAGGGACAGACACTCATGATCAGCACGGCTCTAGCCCATTCCCCAGCCTGCCTTCCTCCTCCCTCTTTCCAAGTTGAGCTATGCCCCCACAATCCCTTCCTGTAGATGGCAAGTTTCTATCTCTGTTTTATCTTCCTAGGTGGAAGACTGAAGCAGCACAGAATCCTGGTGCCTGAAGAATGGCTATAGCAGTGCTTTAGTGGAGGGAGAGCATTGGGTAAATAGTTTTTCAGAAACCTTTTGTCTTTTTTATTTTTTAAATAGTTTATAGGTACAGTTTAATTACAGGATTGTGGCATAAGGGGTGAGTAAAAGCAAAAAAAAAAAATTCTCAAGCACCAGAATCAGAGGATTTCAACACCTCTTCCTTGTCCACCAGTCCTTTATCCCTGCACCCACTAAGATGTTAAGGCACAAAACAATGTGAGACAGGGGTGAATAAATACCAACTGATGTTTGCCATTTGTGACAAAATGTGCCTTTGACTGGGTTAAGCTATAAAGTTACTAGTGCAAGAAATTTAGAAACAAAAGTTTGGACCAAGGAATGAATATATATATATAGTGGCAAAATACCTTGTTTGCCTCAGCAGGCTCAGTCCTTTTTAGCCTTGGACAAGGCAAATCCTTATAGGTGGCACAGGGTCCGGGTCCTGGTCCTGCTACTCCTCTCCTGAGTCAGTCCCTTGTGCTTGTTTTCCTTCCCTTCTGGGTAGGGAGTGCAGCCTCCCTACTGGGAGGGTCTGGTGTCTTGCTACAAACTACTCCCCCCCTCCTTCCACCCAGGGGAGGGTTTAAAAAGGTCTCAAGTAGTTGGAGTCAGCTGAACCTAAGTGGTTCCCTAGCAACCCCCTTTCCAGCTGAACCTTATTGCCCCTTGGTTATCTCTCCTCAGTGGATAGGGAGGGGCCTTTTAACCCCCTGGGACTAATTACTACCCTCCCCCTTTGTAGCTGTTTGTCCTGGGTTTACCACTCTCTCTCTCTCTCTCTCTATATATATATATATACACACACACACACACACATATATATATATATAACTTCTGCAATAGGCTCATATGGTTGGAGTTCCACAGCAGTAAATTGTGAGCATGTACAAGGGAGCCACAATGTCCACAGCATTACACAGCAGAACATACCATTTTTGTGATCGGTTCTTCCAAGGATTTGCCAGTACCAGTCATGCTTTTTCATCCCACTTTAGAGTTTAGGACTTCTCTGAACCTTTTACACCATTATGGGCTCCATCCTGGATGTGCAGAGTACTCTGGCTTGGATCCAGCAAAGCACTTAATTAGGTTTTAAGCACCTTAGTACTGTTGAAAGCTAATTGTGTGCTTAAGTGCTTTGCTGGATTGAGGCCAGATTGCTCAGCACCATGCAGGATTGAGCCCTTTTAAAGAAACAACACATTTCTTGGACATTTCCGTTGACCAGACATCTACTTGTAACTACCTAAATCTTCACCAGGAGCATAGTTGGTTTCTTTACAGGACATTATAATATGTATTGGAGCTAAGGCTAAAGCAGGATAGTTCAGTTTTCATTTAATCATTTCATGTGTTATGCTCATAATTTTACTTGTGTAAAGTGGCAGTGTCAATTTTAGCAGTACAAAGAATTTTGTTTTCCCCAAAGAAACTTTACAAAGGTTGTGGTTATGGGTCGATCTCTCTCGCTTTTGAGCCTGCTTTTTTTTTGTGCACTCAGAAACAGGTCTTTCCCCATCTGCCACCCACCAACATCTTTGTGAAACTATCATTGTTTGCCCTGTCTTTGCATTGCCAAACATTTTTGGTCGGAGGTGGGTGGAAGGAAGAAGAGAGAAAAACTAAACAAAAAACAAAAACATACAATAATAGCCTGCATTTTATTTGAAGGAAAAATAAACCCTATTCCGCGCCCCCTCCCCCCCCCACGTGAGCCACGTGGCATTGCTTACTCCTATGTGTTCTCCATGTTAGCCTACGGGAGCTGAGTCAGAAGCTGAAAACAATGTTCTGTAAAGGTGAAAGTCACACCGCTGTAGAAAGCTCAAGTAAACAGGCTCTGTACGGTGAATTAAAATAGAAACTTGGCACAGAGGTAGACAATTCTGCTGCAGCCCATCTACTACAGTTGCCCTCTACCCTGCAGCATTTGTGTCTAGTGGATGTAATTCATGGACCCAATGGCCACTGCTCCATCACTTCCCTGACCTGCCCACATGACACCACACACACACCCCTCTCCTGTGTGCAATGCCAGTGCAGAGCTTGGCAGCACACAGGTAGATTCTACATCACTTTATGCAGCATTTTCAGTGTCCATCTCCCCTGTTAGTGGAACCATTGCAATCTGCTGCATTCTGGCCTTTCTGCAGTCACAGAGAGGCCAAAAGGATGTCATCCCCTTAGAAAAGAAACTGCATCAATATATGAGTTCTATAGATCTGAGTCATAATAAAACCAAGGTTTTTCAATATTGTGAACTCATTTGATATTCCAATGAAACAACAGGTATATTCTGCAGTCACTTAACATTTCTGTGGGTCATGGTGCAGGGTAATATGAGTATATATTGCAGCCAATGATATTAAGCTTTAAATCAAACAGTTCTAGCCCTGTTTCAGCAAAGCATGCTTAAAGCTAAGCATGTGCTTGAGTGCTGACTGAATAGATGCTTATTTTACCTTGGGCTGCCATTAGTTTTATCAATTACTATCCAGTTTCCTGTTACAGCAGTTCAACAGTACATGTGCTCCTTCTTGGAGCCAAACCTAGTGATGATTTACAAATGCTCCAAACACTTCAATGGCCCCATCAATATGGCATAAGTCATTGCAGAAAAGGTCAGCACTCATCATCCAGTTTGTGTCACTCAGCATTCACGCTCCGTTTCTTTGCTCTCACTGCACTGGGAAAGCTGAGAAGTACTTCCGACATGAAAAAAAATGCTTGTTATATTTGTATCTCCACAGGGAAATGTGTTTGTATTAGAGTAATTCCCTAACTCCAAAACTCTTCCAAAAATGAGAAGCATAGAAATCTTACCAACTCAAAGCACACAGAATAATTACAAAGGCAAAATGGATAAAGTTAAGAGCTTAGAGATGAATTCTTAATTACTGTGGATAATAAGGCCATTTATTTATTAAGGATTATAGTTTTATTAGCATTGTATTATTCATTTGAAGGTCAGAAAAATCTGCTTTTCAGATCACTTTGCGGCTATAAGCACATATAAGCAAACAAAGTTACCTTATTTAGTCTCAAAACTAACATCAGCATTAATTCATGACATTTTATAGGTCCGTTCAGATATCAGGCCTTAGTTTTTTCCACACACATCTGTGATCTTGAAAGGTAATGGGGTGTGTGGGGGTGGGGGCTAAATGATATTTTCTTTGCTTTATATTGCAATAAAATTTAACCCCTTACAATTCCCTGGTTCTTCCAGTTGAGAAACACTGTCTTAGACATTTGGTAAAGGGGATCTCTTAAACTTTGTGTGTCCAAGTCATTTGTTCAAATCCAGCCCAGGACAAGTGTGATAGAAAGTTGTTAGTTACTGACATTGACCTGCAGTATGTGAAGTGAGTTGGTGATCTCAGTTCAGTTTGCTAGTGGACAGGTATCCACCCCACATACTGGTTGTAGTTACAATAAGTTATTAATTTCTCTCTTGTGGGGGGAGGAGTTGGTACTCCTTTTAGTATGGGAGTTTTAGTCCAAATTTGATGGGTCTGGATGAGGGTGCTTCAATAGAGGGACTTTTTTAGGCCAGCCACATAAAAACATATGGCCCAACCCAGTTAAGTGTTCAAAGATTAAAATACTTTCCTGGTCCGTACTGTCGTTCTGAACAAACAGAACAGCGCAAGGTAAGATTTCTCTGGTATCTCAAATACACATACAAAGCTACCTCCCCCCATTCCCTCACCTTCTCTTGGGCACAGCAGCTCAAGCTCTAAACTTCTCCCTTACCCCGTCAGCCAACCTGTCTGGTAGGCTTATGTGAAGACTTATTCCCATTATCTCAAAAATGAAGTCTCAGCAGCAACAGCAGTCTTTAAAAGCTCGCCCATACCACTGGGTAGACGGATATCCTGCCTCTTTATGGGAATGGAAGCAGAGAGCTCCTCAACACTTAGCACCTCACAAGAAACAGTGGAGCAATTCATTTTTTCCTGGGAGGTTTTACAGGGTATCCATCTTAATCCTCTCATTACCAAGGGATAGCTACACCACTTCTCCCCTCCCCTCTTTTCATTGTTCCTTCTTTTTTTGCTATCCTTTTATTTAATCTTCAGGTACTCACCTAACATCCCTGCCCTACCTCCAGATTCCAGAGAGGACATTTATAGAGTCAGAAAGACTAGTTCTCAGCGGTTTGCTGTCAGACTGGGAGGACATGTCTAGTGGGGTCCTGCAGGGGTTAGTCCTGTGTCCAGTACTAGTCAATGTTTTCATTAATGACTTGGACAACGGAGTGGAGAGTATGCTTGTAAAATTTGTGGAGGAGGGGTTCAAGCAGTTTGGAGGACAAGATTAGAATGAAAAATGACCTTGATAAATTAGAGATTTGGTTTGAAATCAACAAGATGAAATTGAATGAAGACACGTGAAAAGTACTGCACCTAGGAAGGAAAAATGAAAAGCTCAGCTACAAAATGGGGAACAACAAGGTAGAACTTGTGGTAGTACTGCTGAAGAGGATCTGTAGGTTATAGTAGATCACAAATTGAATGAGAGTTCACAATGGGATGCAGGTGCAAAAAAGGCTAATATAATTCTGAGGTGTATTAACAGGAATGTTGCATGTAACAGGAGGCAATTGTTCACCTCTACAGGGTTCTAGTGAGGCCCTGGCTGAAGTTCTGTGTACCACACTTAAGGATAGATGTGAATAAATTGCTGAGAATCTGGAAGAGAGGAACAACAAAAAACAAGAACAAGATAAAAGATTTAGAAAACCTGACCTATGAGGATAGGTTAAAAAAATAGGGGCATATTCAGTCTTGAGAAAAGATGACTGAAGGGGGACCCAATAATAGTCTTCAGATATGTTATGGGCAGTGATGGGCACTTTTGGCCGGTTGTTAAATTTAGAAGCCCTTTTAGAACCGGTTGTCCCGAGGGACAACCGGTTCTAAAAGGGCTTCTAAATTTAACAACCGGCCAAAAGTGGCGCCTTAGGCGCTGACTCCATGGGTGCTCCAGGGCTGAAGCACCCAC